TTTGAGACAAGGTCTCTCACTATGTAGTTCAGACTGCCCTGGAACTCACTGTGTAGCCCAGGCTGGTCTCAAATTCCCAGCAATCCTCCTGCCTCAGCATCCCGAGTGCTGGGATTACACCTATTGTTCAGACAGAGGACTAACAAACAGTTAACATACATTAAAAAACTCAAAAAATTATAGACACCCCCAAATAAATGAGCAACTGAAACACTTCTCAGAATTAGAAATGGCCAATAATTATATGAAAAAATGTTCAACATCTCTAGTTAGGAGAAAAATGCAAATTATGATTTCACGTTACTCCAAAAAGAATGGCTTTCATCAAGAAATCAAAAACAACAAATGCTGACAAGGCTGTAGGGAAAGGGGAACCTTTTCTACAGAGCTGGTGGGAGATAAACTACTATAACTATTATGGAAATCAGTATGGAGATTTCTCAAAAACTAAAGCTAGAAATTCCATTCAACCCAGGTATTCCTCACCTAGGTATCTTTCTGAAAGAAATAAAGACATCATATAAGAGGGATACATGCATACCTCTGTTTACAATAGTACAATTCATAACAGCGAAAACTTAGAAGGGGCTTGTATGTCCATAAGCAGATGACTGAATACAGAAAATATGGTGGTTTATACAAAATGGAGTAGTACTCTGCCACAAAGATAAACTTGAGTCATTTGTAGGAAAATGAATGTTCCTTAAAACTATAATATTAACTGAAATAAATCAGACATATAGGCTTAAATTACATGATTTCTCAAATATGAGAAACCCAAAATATAAAAAGCAAAATAAAAGATAGGTAATAGGAAACACAAAAATAGATTTTATGCAAAAGGGAAGGTCACCAAGAAATGGAGGGAAGGAAGGGAGAAGAGGAGAAGGGGATGAAAAAAGAATTGAGATGTGTTACATACATGTAATCCATCAGTATAAGGGTAATCATTACGTACTGCAAATGTGTACTAATAAAAATCGATTTTTTTTTTTTTGGTACTGTGGATCGAACTCAGGACCTTGCACTTGCGAGGCAGGCATGGTCCCACTAAGCTAAATCCCAGGCCCTAAAAAGAGTTTTTTAAAAGTGATTCTTTGAAAATATCAATAAAACTGGCAAACCTTCAGGTACATAGACCAAAAAACATTGGTGGCATGGGGAGGTAAAGTGGGGAAGGATGCAATTATTAAATTCAAGAAAGGAAAAAAAATGAATGTAATACAATATTTAAAAGACAAAAAGCACATGATAATCTCAGATGCAGAAAAATGTCCAACTAAAGCAACATCCTATGAGAATGTTAGGGAAGTTTCTCAATTTGGTTAAGGACATTTATTTAAATACAGTCTGAGCCAGGAATGGTGGAACATGCCTATAATCACAGCACTGGGGAAACAGGAAACAGGAGGATTGCAACTTCAAGGCCAGTCTGGGCTACACAGTGAGTTCAAGGCCACCCTGTAATGCATGTCAAAACCCAGCTACATCTACTCCCTATCCTTAAAAAGGTATCAAACAACGTTATTAGTAAAAGACTGAAAGCTTCCTTTCTCCATAATCATCAGAAAGATGCTAGTTTTCATAATTTCATTTCTATTCAAACTGTACTTGAGGCTTAGGCAGGAGGATCGCTGTGAGTTTGAGACCAGCCTGGGCTACATAGTGAGTTTCGGGTCAGTCTCAACTACATAGTGAGACCCTGTCTCAAAAATCAAAAAAACCAAAAAATAAACTGTACCTGAGTTTTTAGTCAGGCCAATTAGGAAATAAGAAAACAAGAAATTTAAATGAAAAGTAGTAGTACGTAGTCTTTTATATAGAAAATGTTAATAAATACACAAAAAGATTATTAGAGCAAATAAATTCAACAAGTTAGAAGATACAACCAGGCATGGTGTTGCACAACTATAATACCAGCACTTGGGAGACTGAGGCAAGAGGATCACGAATTCGAGACCAGCCTGGACTACATAGTCAGTTCAAGGAAAGAGACCCTGTTCTCAAAAAACCATTAAAAAAAAGATACAAAACCAATATATAAAATTCAATTATATTTCTATACCAATAAAAAAATTAAAAAATTTAAAGCTGTACTCTTCCATATAAAGAGTAAAATGCATAAGAATAAAAAAAGATACAATATATATAGATTTACCCTAAATATTATAAAATATTGTTGAAAGAAACTTAAGAAGATTTAATGTGTTCAAGGATTAAAAGACATAGTATTATTAGGATCCACAGATTCAAAACAATCTCTACCAAACCTAAACTACCTTTGATGAATTGACAGCTAATCCTAAATATGGAAATGTAAGGGACTTGAACTACCCAAAACAATCCTGAAGGAAGAAGTTTGGGGGAAAAAAACATACTTTCAAATTTCAAAACTTACTAAAAAGCTACAATAATCACAACCATGTGGTGCTGGCATTGGATAAATACAGAGATCAATAGATTACAACTCAAATTCAGAAATAAATTTTTACTTTGATAATCAACTTATTTTTGACAAGAGACTAAAAAAATTCAATGAGGACAAAATAGTCTTCTCATATATAGTTTGGTCAGTTTTCCTGTTGCTAAACAAAATATCAGATTACTTCAATGTAAAAGGAGAGGTATATTTGGCTCACATTTTTGGAGGGTTCAGTCCATGGCTATTTACCTTCAAAGCAGAAACATCATGGCATAAGGATGTGGTGGAGGAATGCTGCTCAACTCTTGGCAGAGAAAAACAAAGCAAAGCGGGGAAAGCACCAAAAAGGAAGGGCTAGAGAAGGGATAGGTCCACTGACATATACATTACCCACGCAGAAATACGGAGAAGTGTGCTTTACTAATCCTCTAAGTGACTCCCAAGCTAATCAAGTTTACAATTAAGGTTAACCTTCACATCCACATACAAAAGAATGAAACTGGATCCCTACAGCACAGCATACACAAAAGTTAACTGAAAATGAATTCAGGATATTAAACATAGGAACTAAAACTATAAAACTTAAAAATTATAGGTATAAATATTAACAGCTTTGCATTTGCCAATGGTTTCTTAAAAGATCAAAAGTACAAATAACTAAAAGAAAAATAAGTACACTGGATTTCAACAAAATTCAAACTTTTGTGCTTAAAGGACACAATCAAAAAAAGTAAAAAAACCCACAGTGGGAGAAAATATTTGTACATCATGTATTTGATGACAATGTGACATCTAGAATATATAAAAAAATTCTTAGCTGGGCATGGTGTGCACGCCTGTAATCCCAGCACTCAGGAGGCTGAGGCAGAGGATAGTTGTGAGTTCAAGACCAGCCTGGGCTACATAGTTCCAGGTCAGTTTCAACTACATAGTGGGACCATGTCTCAAAAAACAACAACAACAAAAACAAAAAAACAAAAAAAAAATTTACAACTAAACAATAAAAAGACAAAGAACCCAATTTTAAAATGACCAAGATAGTAGATGTAGGTAGTGGTACACATCTGCAATCCCAACACTCCAGGTTGAAGCAGGAGGATATCAAGTTTGCCTATAAAGCAAGCTTAAGGCTAGTCTGAGCTGCACAGTGAGGTCCTACCTCAAAAAAAAAAA